ACAGACAGTTTGACTCTATCTTGATGCGAAGAATAATAGTGGACATAGGAACAGTTATTTGTAGGTTTTCTGTAAATTTTAAATTTGAATTCATTATTACCCTTAATAATTAAAACATCTAGAAAAGGTAATGAGTTATTTTCTTCAAACTCAACAGTAAAGTTTATGGAATGGGCTAAACTATTTAATTTTCCAAGGAATGATTCCACGGTTCTTCGGTATTGAAGACAACACTCAATACCGAAGAATCGTGGAATCATCGCTTATCTCTATAACCAACAATTTCAACCAGAACAACGGCTTCTATAACATAGCTGAACCACTCGCCAAGAAACTTCTTCATCGCTATCCCACATAAGAACATAGAACACTGCAGAAGGTCTACTCGCAACTTGTCCAAATACCCCTGCCAAGCTACCCAAGACTCTATAACCCCGCCCGGTATATCATCAGATGCAGCATTCTCCACCTGACCTCAACATTCTGAACCCGACTATAAATACTCCCGTACCTTCCACCCCAGGTAGATCTGTTTGTGACTTGAAAAAGCCAACTGTGTGGGCGAAACGTTGTCAATAAATGATCACATTAAACTGCATATGTGTTTATGTTTCCATTGTGTCGGTATTTTATACCATTTATTTTCATTTCATTACGGTCAAACTGGTAAAAATCTCGAACTAAGATTAAAACAACATAAATACAGCATTAGAACTGGACAAGATTCCAATGATCTATTTATTCATGTGAGAGATTTTAACCATCCAATTGATTTTCAAAAAGTTGAGAAAGTTGTATCAAGCAAGTCCATGGTTGACAGAAATATAATTGAATCTTGTTTCACAAAAACCAGTTTTGAAAATAATATGAATATTTCCTTAGGTTTATATAAATTAGACTCATTTATAATTAATAAAATTTTGTTAAAGTTTAATAATACATTGGAAAAATAATAAACCTTATTTCTTGGGTAGAATATTTTGTTAGTGGGATGTCGTGAGGACCTGTCTAGTTGGACCAGCGGATGTACTGCAGTGTTCCTCTTTTCTTATGGCTCCGGTATTGTCGCGCGTCAGGTGTTTCTTTGTTGTGGGAGTTGACTGTGAGGTGTTGTCTAAGCCCTTTAATTGCCTTTCTTTGATGTATTACTTTCATAGTTCCTTGACAATTTGAGTAGTCATGAAAGCACTTGGAATTTCACTACTCTTTCACAGTGGTTGCTTTGCAATATATATATAATATATATATATATATATATATATTATATATATATATATATATATATATATATATATATATATATATATATATATATATATATGTATATATATATATATATATATATAGGGAGGTACCACTTCTATAGCTGGAATGGAAACCGTCATCCTCAGAGAAGACAATGAACGTACCTCAGGGAAAACTCAAGGTTCTCCCCGGAGCTGTTTGAATATTTTCTTCTCCTACCACCCCTTACATATTTTATATTCTATGTGAACATTTATTAATAAACAGAATACATTTGCAGAAAAACACAAACATTAATACAATGGTACAATGTATTAAAGATCATGAATTTCCTGCAGCTCCTCTGAAGCAGGACACGAGCCAAGTATGCAGCAAGCATTTCCCCTCTGCATGGCCATGCTGAGGCGCTGGAACATGAAAGTGGCTGCACTTGGGTCCCTGGTGGTGTCGATGAGTCTGGAACCCAATTCTTTAAGGAAAGGTGTGGCATTTTTTCCCCATGATCCCAAGGTCTCTGATCCCACTGGGACAAATTGATACTGCTGGCTTATGTCCCTGTACTTGCTGATCTTGTACTCCTCCCTGTGCTCAGCAGCTCCTCCCTGTCGCCCAACACTGTGATGGATGTAGGTGTCAGCCAGTGTGGACACACAGGTATAGTCCCATGCTAAGAGCTTGCCATTCTTCCAAGGAGAGATGGTGATCCCATCGGGGCGGATTGCTGGGTTGTGGGTATTGTTGGCTGCTAGTGACCGGGGCTTCCTTTCGGCTGGGCATCCAGCTGTAGCAAGGGTTCTCTTTATGATGTCGTTGACCTCATTGTGTCTTGCATGCCAGCCCTTGGTTTTGGAACAGTTAAGACCATGTAGACCGTATTGGTCTGCTTGCGCTTCGCCGCAAATGCACATATATTCTGTGTAAATTGGGGCAGCAAGGCGCAGAGCCACTGCAATACAGAGGGTCTTAGGGTCGAGTTGCGTTCCATTGCTGATATGGAGACTGTTTGGAGGAAGTCTCCAGTGTGAGGTGCGCTCACAGCCTGGAGACGGGCAGTCTCCCTATCTGATGATCCAGCTCTGAGCATGTTGGCAAGCAGCTTTTCAGCAATCAGGCCATCCCAGCTTGACTGTTTGTGAGCCAGTGCTGCACTAAGGTTTGGTGCTGGAGCACCAAACTCCCACAACAATGAAACACCTGACGCGGGACAATACCGGACTCATAAGAAAAGAGGAACACTGCAGTAGGTCCGCTGGTCCAACTAGACATGTCCTCACGACAACCCACCAACAAATCATTCTACCCACAGACCGGGTCGCGGGGGCGTTGACCCCCGGAACTCTCTCCAGGTAAACTCCAGGTACCCAAGAAATAAGGTTTATTTTTTTGTCCAATGTATTATTAAACTCTAACCAAATTTCATTAATTATAAATGAATCTAATTTATACAAACCTAAGGAAATATTCATATTATTTTCAAAACTGCTTTTTATGAAACAAGATTCAATTATATTTCTGTCAACCATGGACTTGCTTGATACCACTTTCTCAACTTTTTGAAAATCAATTGGATGGTTAAAGTCTCCCATATGAATAAATAAAGCATTGGAATCTTGTCCAGTTCTAATGCTATATTTATGTTGTTTTAATCTAAGTTCGAGACTTTTACCAGTTTGACTGTAATAAACTTTATCGCAAATTTTACAAGGAATCTTATAGACACATCCGTCAGCATTTTGGGGGGAATTCTTTATCAAAAATTTTTTTTTACTGTATCAAGATTTTTAAATACAACTTTAATATTAAAAATCTTAAGAAGAGAAGGCATATCAACCAAGTTTTCATGGTAAGGGAGAACCAACTTGGTTGATATGAACTTTGTCCTTGGAAGCAAATAGGGGAATGTATGAGAGTATAGTTGTACCAAAACTCTTGTATGGGTGTGAAGCATGGGTGATGAATGTTGCAACGAGGAGAAGGCTGGAGGCAGTGGAGATGTCATGTCTGATGCAATGTGTGGTGTGAATATAATGCAGAGAATTCGTAGTTCGGAAATGAGGAGACGGTGTGGGATTACCAAAACAATTATCCAGAGGCCTGAGGAGGGGTTGTTGAGATGATTCAGACATGTAGAGGGAATGGAACAAAACAGAATGACTTCGAGAGTGTATAAATCTGTCGTGGAGGGAAGGCAGGGTAGGGGTCGGCCTAGAAAGGGTTGGAGGGAGGGGGTAAAGGAGGTTTTTTGTGCGAGAGGCTTGGACTTCCAGCAAGCGTGTGTGAGCATATTTGATAGGAGTGAATGGAGACAAATGGTCTTAAAAACTTGACGTGCTGTTGGAGTGTGAGCAAAGTAACATTAATGAAGGGATTCAGGGAAACCGGCAGGCCGGACTTGAGTCCTGGAGAGGGGAAGTACGGTGCCTGCACTCTGAAGGAGGGGTGTTAATGATGCAGTTTAAAAACTGTAGTGTAAAGCACCCTTCTGGCAAGACAGTGATAGATTGAATGATGATCAATTTTTTTCCATTTTCGGGCCACCCTGCCTTGGTGGAATCGGCCGATTTGTTAATAATGTATATATATATATATATATATATATATATATATATAATATATATATATATATATATATATATATATAAAATATATATATATAATAATGTGAGTGGTCACGAAAGTGCTTGGAATTTCTCTTTTTTTTCAGAGTGGTGTTTTGCATATTCTAAAATCACCTGTTTACTGTGATCTTATTGCATATATATATATATATAATATATAATAATATATATATATATATATAATATATAATATATATATATATATATATATATATATATATATATATATATATTATAAAATATATATATGTGTGTGTGTGTGTGTGTGTGTGTGTGTGTGTGTGTGTGTGTGTGTGTGTGTGTGTGTGTGTGTGTGTGTGTGTGTGTGTGTGTGTGTGTGTGTATGCTTAACAATTCGCAAACAGGCGAAATTATTTATAAACATTATCTCTACGTCCACAGCAGGACTCGAACCTGCAAACTCTGCATCATGGCACACAGTACTTTATCCACGAAGCCAGAACCCAGATTTGTTTGTACATTATGTTTTTTCCATCTTCAGAATTTTAATGTTCGATTTCTCCTCCCAATCCAAGGTTAGTTTAGTTTAATATGTTTATTATGCACCCCATACCCATCCTGTGGGCGGTAGTCAAAAGATTACAGAGGTACATAATGGGTCCAGGGACTGGGCCTCAAAGTTTTGATAGCTGAGCAAGTTACAGAGGTAATGAATTCACAATTTACAAAGGTAATGAACTCATAATTTACAAAGGTAATGAACTCCAGGTAGGTCTAGTCACAATCATGACAAGTTACAAAGGTATTTACAGATTACAGAGGTACACAATGGGTCCAGGGACTAGGCCCCAAAGTTTTGATAGCTGAACTAGGTACAAGGTAATGAACTCACAAGTTACAAAGGAAATGAATCCTGTAAGAATTGTTACTTACGTTTATACATGGCTACAAACATGAACAAATTTTAGAGTAATGAGCAATTCACACTTCCACACCCGGTCACAAATGTAGTGAGTTATTGGTGCAAATATCAAAGGGACACGTGTTTTACGGATGCAGTCTATGAGCAGGTGATTTTCACTGACAAATAAATTAACAACAACAGCCTCCATTGTGGCATCCTGCAATACATCTTTATTTAAGAATACTAAATTTTGCCTTGTGTAACTCTTGCAGGAAGTGTGTGGTTTTATCTGCTCTCACTGGCATCTGTTTTCATACCTGCTGGCATCATATATCATAATGATTTACCACCAGCTTCAGTACTTGATGATCCGTGAGTTAATACGCTACATAACCCACCACTTTCTTATTATTGAATTCAGTATAATATATATATATATATATATATATATATATATATATATATATATATATATATATATATATATATATATGTATATTATATATAATATATAAAATATATATATATATATATATATATATATATATATATATATATATATATATATATATATATATATATGTCGTGCCGAATATGTAAAACTGGTCAATTAGCAAGAACTCATTTAAAATTAAGTCCTTTCAAAAAATTTATCTTATACTTTTAAAGATATATTTTTTTTCATTAATATTAATGTAAAAATTTTCAGTTTTGCACCAAAAGAAACTTAGAAAACTTACCTAACCTTATTATAACAAGCGCAATTTATTTTAGCCTAACCCAACTAAATATATTTTAAATACTTTTACAGTAATTTAATACTGAACAAACACAATGAAATATATTATTTTCTTTAGGTTTAGAATGATTTTTGCGAAATTATTGCATACACAAATTTTAGCTTGTTCTATATGGCAAGATGAGCGTTGCTATTTAAGCCAAGATCGCAAATTCTGCCTATTCGGCACGACATAATATATATATATATATATATATATATAATATTATATATATATATATATATTATATTATATATAATTATATATATATATATATAAAATATATATATATATTATATACTGGAGAAAGAGAGAGAGAGAGAGAGAGAGAGAGAGATCGCAGTCAGTAGGATTCGAAACCAAGTCAGGGGCGTCTGGTAAGGTTCTCCCAGTAACACTCTAGTTAACTTAGCTACGATGCCTCAAAATCTAAGCAACCTTGTTTATAAGCCATATTTTTTCCCAGCCGAACACACCAGTGGGCCTCAAGCATAATTTCAAAGTATTTCATTCTCCTTCTATGTAAACAAAGTTGTCTTGCTGTTGAGGCATGTGTGGCCGAGTGGTCAACTTTGAGACGTTCCTTATATTTGTACAATTGTTTGGCTCACCAATCCTCTAAGTTTCGTTTAAGTTGGGATACTATCATTAAATCGGAAGAGCTCTGAATGTCTGGAAGTGTATTATCATGCTGCAGTTTGGCGGGTCATTTAGTGTGAGATTTGTGCACCTTATGAGAGACAGCTGGATGGGCGATGGTGTAGGATTTCTTCTTTTGGTTTTCATTCTTTTGTGGATCAAATTAACAACTGACTGAATATAAGGATGTTCTAAGCTCTGCAGTATTGCTATAGTATGTGTATGAGTTAATATGTTCAATGCTTCTCATATTTATCTTTTTCTGAGTTATGGGCAATAGTGATACATAAATTATAGCAAAGTGGACAATAACCAACCTCATTTTTCAGAAAAAGTGATGAGTACATCAACCTTGTATATTTAATGCCATGGTGTCGTGCTGGGCCCTGGCTGGTGGGCATCTGGCTGGGTTATCTTATCTATAACCAAGGCAGCAAGAAAGCCACCCTCGAGAAGGTACGACCAAATATCTTTCCTGGCATTTATATCGTACTAATGGCATTCACCTAGATTCTGATGCTTTTTGTAGGTACATGAAAACACACATTCTGAGCATAGTTATTGCCTTTGTTTACAGTGGCAGGTGGTGGCAGGCTGGACAGCCGCTGTGATTACTGGCTTCCTGGTTGTCTTTGGTATATGGAGCTACAACACAGTTCCTCCAATGGTTGAGTACGATGTTGTTACACAAGTGGTGTACGGTGGCTTACACCGCTATGCCTGGGCTTGTGCCGTTGCTTGGGTCATATATGCCTCTCACAACGGCTATGGAGGTAAGGCTCGTACATCTACTATTATTATTATCAGTCTGTGTTCTGTTTATTTACGTAGTATGAATGAATGTATGGTGATACATATTTTGAGTAATGTGAAACTGATAGTTGATCTGATCCCTGAAGTACGTTTCTAGAGGTGGTCCCTCCCTATACCTACTTATATATATATTATATATATTTTAATATATATATATATATATATATATATATATATATATATATATATATATATATATATATATATATATTAGTTATATTATTTCTGAATGTTTTTCCTACTTTAACATTTAGGTCCCCTAGCACAATTATTCTCTCACTTGGTTCAGAAGTTCCTACACACTCGCTTAACATCCCACAAAGTCTTTCTGTCTCCTCTACGCTCCTCTGTTCTCCAGGTGCATACACACTTATTATGACCCACTTTTAGCACTCATCCCTTATAGTTTATTAACACATCGTCCATTTACAACCAAGGCATCATCAGTCACTCCACCACTGTCTTGCCAGAGGCATGCTTACATTACAGTTGTAAAACTGCAACATTAAGGCCTGCCGGTTTCCCTGAATCCCTTCATAAATGTTACTTTGCTAGCACTCCAACAGCACGTCAAGGCCTAAAAACCATTGTCTTAATTTGCTCCTATCTAACACACTCACTCAAGCTTGCTAGAAGTCCAAGCCCCTTGCACACAAAACCTCTTTTACCCCCTCCCTCCAACCTTTACTAGGCCGACCCCTACCCTGCCTTCCCTCCTCTACAGATTTATACACTCCCGAAGTCATTCTGTTTCGTTCCATTCTCTTACGGTGCCCCGTGGCCTGGTGGCACACAATGAGGGTCCGGGTTCGATTCCCAGCGAAGGGGTAGAAACATTGGACATGTTTCCTTTCACCGAGTGTCTATGTTCATCCATCAGTAAAATGGGTACCTGGATGTTAGTCGACTGGTGTCGGTCGCATCCTGGGACAAAACTGACTTAATTTGTCCGAAATGCTCTGCATAACAAGTGGCTTTCTATACAGTAGTATGTCATTGATGTCAGCTAGGACTTTAAACCTTGCACATGTACTCGTAGTAAATAAAGATATTATATTATATTACATGTCTGAACCACCTCAACAACCCCTCCTCAGCCCTCCGGATAATAGTTTTGGTAATCCCGCACCTTCTCCTAATCTCCAAACTACGGATTCTCTGCATTATATTCACACCACACATTGCCCTCAGACATGACATCTCCACTGCTTCCAGTCTTCTCCATGTTGCAACATTCACTACCCATGCTTCACACCCATATAAAAGCGTTAGTATAACTATACTCTCATACATTTCCCTCGTTGCTTTCATGGCTAAAGTTCTTTGTCTACACAGACTCCTCAGTGCACCACTCACATTTTTTCCCTCGTCAGTCCTATGATTCATCTCATCTTTCATAGACCCATCCACTGACACGTCCACTCCCAAATATCTGAATATATTCACCTCCTCCATATTCCTTTCCTCCAATCTGATATCCAGTCTTCCGTTACCTATTTTTTCGTTTTGTTATACTCATCATCTCACTCTTTCCTCTATTCACTTTGATTTCCTTCTTTTACATATCCTACCAAACTCATCCACCAACCTCTGCAACTTCTCTTCAGAATCTCTCAAAAGCACAGTGTCTTCAGCAATGAGCAACTGTGACAATTCCCACACTGTGTTAGATTCTGAATCTTTCAACTCCACGCCTCTTGCCAGCACCCGAGCATACACTTCTCTTACAAGTCCTTCTCTAAATATATTGAACAACCATGGTGACATCACATATCCTTGTCTAAGGCCTACATTTACTAGGATATAATCTCCCTCTCGTCTACATACTCCAACCTGAGCCTCACTATCCTCGTAAAGACTCTTCACTGCTTTCAATAACCTACCTCCTATTCCATGCAATAGCAACATCTGCCACACTGCCCCACTATCCGCCCTGTTATTCGCCTTTTCCAAATCTTAAATGCCACAAATCAAACACTTAGTCTACACCCCCTACCCTTCCTAAAGCTCCTTAGTGCATCTGCTCTCCTTCTCATCATCTTTCAATAATAACTCTACCATACACTTTACCAGGTATACTCAACAGATTTATTCCCCTATAATTTTTTACACTCTTGTCCCCTTTGCCACTCCAAAACTATATCTCCACCTGCTTTTAACATTTCTATCTTTATTCCATCAATCCTAACTGCTTTACCCCCTTTCATTCTACCTACTGCCCCACGTACTTTCCCACACACTCACTCCTATAAGATGTTATTCCTCCTTGCCCTATACACGAAATCACAGCTTCCCTATCTTCATCAACATTTAACAATTCCTTAAAATATTCCCTCCGTCTTCCCATTACCTCTAACTCTCCGTTTAATAACTCTCCTCTCGTATTTTTAACTATCAAATCCAATTTATTAATCTCACTCCAAAACTTTTTCTTATTTTCAACAAAATTTGTTGATAACATCTCACCCACTCTATTTTTACATTACTTCACCATTCTCTTAACCTCTCTTATTTTCTCCATAAAATATTCCCTTTTTCCATCACTTCTGCTTTGTAAAAGCCTCTCATTTGCTAACTTTTTCTCTCTTAGTGCTCTCTTTACTTCATCATTCCACCAATTGCTCTTCTTCTCTCCGACACCAACTTTCCTGTAACCACAGACTTCTCCTGAACACTCTAACACTATATTCTTAAACTTACCCCATACATTTTCTATCCCATTGCCTATACTCACACTAGCCCATCTGTTCTCCAACAGTTTTTTTATATCTTATGCTAACTGCCACCTCCTTTAGTTTATAAACTTTTACCTCACTTTTACTTGCTGCTTCCATTTTCCTTGTATCCCATCTACCTGTTACTCACACACATACATACTCACATACACACACACACACACACACACACACACACACACACACACACACACACACACACACACACACACACACACACACACACATACACACACACACAGGTGGCCAGAAGAGCTCACATGGGGGGAGCAAAGTTACTAGTCATGGGTGATTTCAATCACAAGGAGATTGACTGGGAAAACCTGGAGCCCCATGGGGGTCCCGAAACATGGAGAGCCAGGATGATGGATGTGGTACTGGAAAACCTCATGCATCAACATGTTAGAGACACTACCAGAGAGACAGAGGCGAGGACGATCAACCAAGACTGGACCTTGTATTCACCTTGAGAAGTTCGGACATCGAGGGTATCATGTATGAAAGGCACCTAGGAGCTAGTGATCATGTGTTTTGACTACATAATAGAGCTACAAGTGGAGAGAGTAGCAGGAATAGGATGGGAAAAAAACAAACTACAAAAGGGGAGACTACCATGGGACTCACAATGGGACTCACAAACTAGTATTTAGTCACTTAGCCATAATACCAACTTACCTCATAATTTGTAATATTTTACAATTAAGAATAAAACTAAGTCTGCCCGAAATGCTTAGCCATGATAAGCGTTCTAGTGGTACACTCTGTAATCACTATTTTACTACATGTAAACCACACAATAACCAAATTTCTGTAAACTCAGCATTGTAATCCTTATAGAGAATAAACTTTGAAGCATGAGGAACTTCCTGCAAGACGTTCAGTGGGAGAGAGAAATGGCAACAAGGGAAACAGAAATAGTGGGAAGAACAGAACGAGTCCTTGGTTCACCCAAAGGTGTAGGGAGGCAAAAACTAGGTGTACTAGAGAATGGAAAAGGTATTAAAGACAAAGGACCCAGGAAAACAAAGAGATCAGCCGTAGAGCCAGAAACGAATATGCACAGATAAGAAGGGAGGCTCAGCGACAATATGAAAATGACATCAAAAGTCAAGTCTTACCCGAAGCTCTTGTATAGCCACATCAGGAGGAAACTAATAGTCAAGGACCAGGTAATCAGACTGAGGAAGGATGATGGGGAGTTCACAAGAAACGACCAAGAGGTATGTGAGGAGCTCAACACGCGATTTAAAGAAGTATTTGCAGTGGAAACCGGTTGGACTCCAGAAAATCAGAACAGGGAGGTACACCATCAAGTGCTGGATGAGGTACATATAACCGAGGAGGAGATGAAGAAGCTGCTATGTGAACTTGATACCTCAAAGGCGGTGGGACCAGACAACATTTCTCCGTGGGTTCTTAGACAGGGAGCAGAGATGCTGTGTGTGCCACTAACAAAGATCTTCAACACATCCACTGAAGCTGGGCAACTCCGTGAGGTATGGAAGATGGCAAATGTAGTCTCAATTATTAAAAAAGGAGGCAGACACGAGGCATTAAACTACAGACCTGTGTCACTAACGTGTATAGTATGCAAAGTCATGGAGAAGATCATCAGGAGGAGAGTGGTGGAGCATCTGGAAAGAAACAAGTGTATAATCAACAACCAGCACGGTTTCAGGGAAGGAAAATCCTATGTCACAAACCTACTGGAGTTTTATGACAAGGTGACAGAAGTGAGACAAGAGAGAGAGGGGTGGATAGACTGCATTTTCTTGGACTGCAAGAAGGCCTTCGACACAGTTCCTCACAAGAGGTTACTGCAAAAGCTAGAGGATCAGGCTCACATAACAGGAAAGGCACTACAATGGATCAGAGAATATCTGACAGGGAGGCAACAACGAGTCATGGTACGTGACGAGGTGTCAGAGTGGGCACCTGTGACAAGCAGGGTTCCACACGGGTCAGTCCTAGGACCTGTGCTGTTTTTGATATACGTGAATGACATAACGGAAGGGATAGACTCAGAAGTATCCTTGTTTGCTGATGATGTGAAGTTAATGAGGAGAATTAAATCGGTCGAGGATCAGGCAGGACTACAAAGCGACCTGGACAGGTTACAAGCCTGGTCCAGCAACTGGCTCCTTGAATTTAACCCTGCCAAATGCAAAGTCATGAAGATCAGGGAAGGGCAAAGAAGATCGCAGACACGGTATAGTCTAGGAGGC